ACGGATGGAAAATTTGACAGTCGTATGGCTCTCTTCATTTTTTGAAATGATTCAAAAAACAAGCATGTCTATTTAGATCAGGGATGCATTTTTATGTAAACACATACAAAAAAAGTGAAACAGCTTACTTTGTTATTGTTTTATACCAATCGTGTAAACACAAAAAATATAAATCATACGACTTTTATTCTCTTTTTTGTCATACGGATGGAATTTCATTTTACTTTTTCATTAGACTTGTCGTATGTAAAGTGTGACCGTGTGAAGGGCCCTTAAATGTTATTCAGCAGCAATGTTTTGTACAAACAGAAAATAACATGGCATTTTTATATAAAAAATATTAGTTAACGAAGGACAAAATAATGAAGTGGTTGTAGTTGATGGAACGGAGAATTAACAAACTGAGCGTTGCCGGTTCGATTCCTGGTCGATTTATCTTTTTTTGTCATATATAATTAAAATTTGTTTAAAAATCAAATTAAGTGTCGAAATTAGGTTCAACAATAAAAATTTAAAGCTAATTTTTCGAAATTCTGTTCAACAATAAAAATTTAAAAGCTAATTTTTTTCTAATCTATTGTACCTCCCGTACAAAATTATAACTATAACTATTGCCATACATTTTTCTCACACATAGAAATTATTTTAAATACAGAACATAGGTTAAAATTTATTAAATTTAATACGCTCTGCAACAGTCTGTTAAGTGGTAGTTTTGTTTTTAATTGAATATTGTAAGGCGTAATGAAAATAAGTCTAAAATATTAAGGTAAATTCGAATCAATCCATAAAATTTCATAATTTATGAAACCAGTAAAATCAACAGACATCCAAACATACGAAACGAAATACACAAAAAAACAAAATACACAACGCAATGAAACCAACAGACATCAAACATACGAAACTGTACACCAACAAACAAAAACAATATACAAAAGGCAATGAAACACACAGCCATCCAAACGGCGTCATGAAATAACTCCCCACGAAATAACTCCCCAAAACAAAAATGAAATAACTCCCTAAAAATTTGTTCAGAAAGCAAAAAACAACGAAATTTGGGGATTTAATTCGTTTTTTGGGCCATTATTTCACATTTAAAATGGGGAGTTATTTCATTATGAAATAATTCCTCAAAATTCAAAAATGAAATAAATCCCTAAAAATATTTTTGGGGAGTTATTTCATTATATTACATTTGTCACACGAAATAAATAATATATGTCTGATAGCCGGCCTTCGGCCGGTGCAAGGGTTTTCTCCTCTGGGGTACATTGGACACCGGCTTCGCTAAGAGTACACTCGCCTTGTATCAAAAGTGTTCGGCCTTAGGCCGGCTGTTTAGGAAATTTTTATTAAGCGAAGCCGGTGTTGGTCATATTATAGAGCGTAGGCCGTCTATTTAGGAAATATTTATTAAGCGAAGCCGTTGTTGGACATACCATAGAGTAGAAAGTCCTTGCGCCCGGCCGAAGGCCGGCTGTTAAAGGAATCTTTATTAAGCGATTAAACTGAAATGTATTAAACTTTGAAGCCCCACTCGAAAGTATGAGCGACCTACTTTTTTAGAAATTTTGTTATTTTTAAATGGGAACTTATTTCATTTTAAAATTAGGGATTTGTTTCATATGAAGTAAATCCCCAAAAAATGGGGTGTTATTTCATTTTAATTTGGGAAGTTATTTCATTTCGTTGGGGTTTTTTTCCTTTTTAAATTGGGGAATTATTTCATAATGAAATAAGTCCCCAAACTTAGGGAGTTATTTCATTTTTGATTTGGGAAGTTATTTCGTGGAGAGTTATTTCATGACGCCCATCCAAACATACAAAACTGAATACACCAAGAAACAAAAACAATATACACATGCCAATGAAACACACAGCCATCCAAACATGTGAAACGAAATACTCAATGAATAAGCAGTGTTGTTGTTGTTGCTTATTAACCAAAACATGAAAAAAATTGTCTATTTTTATGAAATTTTCAGAGGTTGTCTCGGATTTTGCTTATATCTCCGTCATTTATGGACCGATTTTGCTGATTTTAAATAGCGATCTTCTCGAAAGCATGTCTAAGAGAATTATTGAAGATTCGGATCTCGCCGATATCTGGGGTCCTCTAAAAACTGATTTCAACAGACAGACAGACGGACAGACAGACGGACATGGCTTAATCGACTCCGCTATCTATAAGGATCCAGAATATATATACTTTATAGGGTTGGAAATTATATTATAGAAATTACAAACGGAATGACAAACTTATATATACCCTTCTCACGAAGGTGAAGGGTATAAAAACAAGTTAGAGTGCTATATTCGGCTGAGCCGACTCTTAAATACCCTCCACCAGATACTTTTATATTAATATTTTTTTAATTGATCAAATATTTGAAGAAATTTTTAAATTTTTCTCATGTCTTAAATAGAAAAATCTCAAGATGCAAACAGCTTAAATCTGTTACAATTGCAAGATTATTGAACATTACAAATGCCATTTTCTTTTATATTTTTATAGCGCCCTAAGATATGCTTTAGCGATATTTAATAATTTGCATGTGTGTGAAAGATTTAAGGAAATTCAAAACAAATATAATATTGCTCTACACAAATTGATAATGCAACTAGTTATATCTACCTAGTATGGGAGATCTGACCAATTATAGACCGATCGTAAGAAATTCATACATACATAAAAGCTATATTTCAGTCAATTTTTGTATCTATATCGTAATTTAGTAATAAGTAATGTGTGTTTAAGTGATTTTCGAAAGGGAACCTTGTATGGGACCGATCGCACCCATATTATGAACTGATAGTGAAAAAATCTTGAAATATAATATTTGTGCCAAATTCTGTATCAATAGCTTTATTTGTTAATGAGTAATGTGCCTTTAAGAGATTTTCGTAAGAGGACCTTGTATGGGAGCTATGACCAATTATAGTCCGATCGTAAAAAATTCCACAGTAACATTAATGTATATAAAGACAAAATTTTGGTTAAATTCTGTATATATATCAATATTTGGAAATGAATATTGTGCATTTAAGTGATTTTCTGGAGCGGACCTTGTATGGGAGCTATGACCAAATATGGCCCGATCGTGAAAAAATTGTATAGTCTCATTTATGTATATAAGAGTAATCTTTGTGCTAAATGTATCAATATTTGGTAATGAGTTATGTGCGTTTAAATGATTTCGATTGGGGACCTTGTATGGGAGCTATGACCAATTATGGACCGATCGGGAAAAATTTCACAGTAACATTTCTATACATAAGAGCAATACTTGCACCAAATTTTGTATGGATTTTTTAATTTAGAAATGAGTTATGTGCGTTGAAGTGATTTTCGGGAAGGGACCTTGTATGGGTGCTATGACCAATTATAGACCGATCCCGAAAGTTTTTTTAATTCTACTGACATAAAATTTTAATTTGTAAAGTTTTGTGAAGATATGGACATTCAAACGGAAGTTATTAACAAAAAACTAATTTTCCGGGAATATGTACATTTGTATGGAAGGTATATGAAATTGTGGACCGATTCCGGACGGACGGACAGACGGACATAGCTAGATCGACTCATAAGGTCCAAGAATATATATACTTTGTTGGGTCTCAGATGAATATTTCTGGGTCTAAAGAACTATTGAAGATTTGGAAACCAAAGAAATCTGAGTTCGCTATCTATAAGGATCCAGAACATAGTATAATTTATAGGGTCGGAAAATTATATTGTGGAAATTGCAAACGAAATGACAAACTTATATATGTATAGTATACATTGTATACACTAAAAAATCCATTCCTAATATATACGAAAAACGTCGTACATTGTACGAATCTTTCGTTGTTTCGCACCACGAAATTCTTTCGTAATATATACGGAATTGTACGAAATATGTTAGTATAATGCAAAATAATCTAAAAGAATTAATTTACATAAGTTGTAAAAAGTAAATTTTCAATAAATATGATAAAATTCATTTTAAAATAATTTTTCTAATTTTAGTTAACAAATTATTATCCACGCGAATTTTTCGTTTTATTTTGAAAATAGTTCATGAATTATATTATACTTTTTCTTAAATTTTATAAAAATGTTGTAGTTTTATTTAATTATAATGTAATTAATATCATTATGTTTAATTTCGCTTAAATTTACAAAAAAAAATTTTACGAAAAATAAGCATGGATTATTTTCAGTGTACCCTTCCCACGAAGGTGAAGGGAATAAATATAATTTTAAATTTGTTTTTAATGTTAACGTTTGTTTTTTACGCTAGATTGATCATATGGATTCTGACAGCTGAATCAGAGACCCGACTTACAAACTTTCTTAAAAAAAATTGAACTAGTGCAAGAAATGACTAACCATTTTAGTTATGTAAATTATCTAAAAAATTTGTTTTTGAGAAGAAAAAGATTTGAATGCACTTATAGAAAGGGTAATCCACCGATTTTTGGGCCAAATTTCGAGCAATTTATTTGTAATTCAACCCGTGGTTAAAAAATCTTTAAATACCAAAGTATCATGTTCGACTGGTGAAATGCGAAATGCGGTCAGATCTCATATGGTCAACCAAGCGTTGAAAAAATGTTGTAGTTTAGATGAAAGTTAAGATAAAGAACAAAGAAAAAAGTATATTTTTATAAAATACAAATACGAAAATTCCGTTTAAGAGATATTAGGATATGTCTCCATGGCGATATTATGATTCATTTCTATTATTTTTTCCAATACTAATTTTCTTAAATACCAATAAAATCCGATGCAACAAAAAATCTGTAAAATCCATGTATAATATGAAAGTAGAATTAAATACGTTTTATTTAAGATACAAATCATCAAATTCTAACGGGTAGTTTTGGACAAAACTAGACGTAGATAGATAAATATGTGATTATTCTATAATTTCTAAGAATTGGAAGTATCGACATATTTTATAACTAAAATCTATTTTATTATAAAATTTATTTCACAATTTATATAGTTTCAAAAAAGTAGCGAACATGCGCTGTTTTCAAATTCAGTGGTTGACGTTTTCACTCAACTGACACAATGTTTCGATGTTGTTAGCAAACTCGAGTGTCCAGATCCTGAAATATGGAAACGTTACATGAGACGTTTTGCTAAAACAATCGTAAAGGTGCTAATAGCTTATGCCGATATTGTGAAAAAAGAATTCCCAGAACACATGCAGGATGAACGTATTGTAAGTATTGAGTATTTATGAACGAAACTAATTACGTAAAGCAAACTTAAAATAAAAAATAACAAAACAAAAATAAAATTCAGATGTTGAAATCACTAGCATTTTTTACTAATTACAAGCCAGTGCCTCATTCTGGTTTTTTTTCCAAATCGAGAAGAAAAAAATAAAAATATGATAGTCTTCCAGTTTTTAACAAGGTTATTCTGTTTATTTTTAAAATGCACGCATTAAAATTTAATATCAAATATTTAAATTTCTTGTGTTATACAATATGATCATAAACTTTCTAATCATTTTTCTCGATGCGGAAAATACAGAAAACGGGGTACAACAAAATAATACATGATACATTTCTACTAAACATATGTGTGTTTACAGGCGTGTATTTTAATGAATAATATTCAACAATTGCGTGTGCAGTTGGAAAAAATGTTCGAATCCATGGGCGGCGATAAATTAGAAGAGGATGCGGCGAATATACTTAAAGAACTGCAACAAAATCTCAATTCTGCCCTGGATGACTTAGCTTGCCTTTTCGCCATAAGGTAAGAGAATTAGTAAAATGTAGACGAGATAATTTGACAAAATTAATATCTTTTCGAATATTACTATAATACTTAAGTCTGGAACCACGTATTACTCAATCGGTACGGGAGCTTGGTGATTTGCTGCTCGCAATTAAGGGTGGTGGAGGAAGTGGCAACATAAATGCTCAAAATCAAGTAGCCCAACGAAATGCTGTGGCCGTGGAAGCAGACGAAGTGTTGCGACCACTAATGGATCTTTTGGATGGTTCCTTAACTCTTTACGCACAATCATGCGAAAAGACAGTACTTAAACGTCTGTTGAAGGAACTGTGGAAGATAGTAATGCGCACGCTAGAAAAGACTATCGTGTTGCCTCCAATGACTGATAAAACGGTATTGATATGAACTAATAAACAAATATCAGCATATTAACGTTCCAACTTAAAAACATATTACAGATGATGTTCAAACATCTAACGGACAATGCTAAAAACCTCGCCTCTAACGCTAAAATAGAAGATATGGGTCGTCTATTTAAGTCACATATGGCTGGAAAGCAAGATGTTAAAAGTGCTTTAAGCGGTGTAATGGATATTTCAAAAGAAGTCGAAAAGAATTTATCGCCTAAACAATGTGCTGTTCTTGACGTGGCCTTAGATACAATTAAGCAGTACTTCCATGCCGGTGGCAATGGACTGAAGAAAACGTTCCTTGAAAAATCACCAGAACTCCAAAGTTTACGTTATGCATTGAGCCTTTATACCCAAATGACTGATACGCTTATTAAAACGTTTATCTCCAGCCAAGTGCTTGAAGGTTTGTTTCAGATACAGTAAATCTAACTTACGCAACTATATTTGTTTTCACCCTATTTCTACAGTTGATCCCGAAAATCAAGAAGAAAGTGTGGGCGAAATATCTGTACAAATTGATCTATACTCACACCCTGGAACGGGCGAATATAAAGTGAATGTAAAAGGTAAAAAGTTCGTAATTCAGTATACATATGTCGCTCCATTTCGCCATTAATTGTTTTTAACTCTAAATTAAAATAATTATTTATTTAAATATTTTTTAGTTGTGGCAGCAAATGATCTTAAATGGCAAATTCCATCTGGCATGTTTCGTCCCTTTGTTGAGATCAATCTTATTGGACCCCATTTACAGGATAAGAAGCGTAAATTTGCTACCAAATCGAAATCGAACAATTGGTCGCCGAAATACAACGAATCCTTTAATTTGTAAGTTCACATATAGATACTTATTTTTTGATATGAGGATTTTTTTTTTACAAATTATATCTGCTACCATACAATTACAGCACTATTGGCACTGAAGAACAACTGGATTTTTTCGAATTGCACATCTGTGTCAAAGATTACTGCTTTGCAAGAGATGACAGATTAGTGGGTGTGGCCGTTATACCTCTAAAGGATATACTAGAAAAAGTAATTGTTTAAAATAAAGAAGAAATTTGGAATTTTGTTTTGATCATGTAACTTGGTCTCTATTATAGGGTTCGGTTGCTTGTTGGCTGCCATTACAAAGAAGAATTCATATGGATGAGACTGGATGGACAATTTTACGTATTCTATCTCAACGCAATAATGATGAAGTAGCCAAAGAATTTGTTAAGCTAAAATCGGAGATCCGGCAGGAACCAACCGCCGGCACGTAGAGATTGAAATGAATAAAATCATTTTACGCACACACCCACAAACACTTGACAAAACCTACTAACCAACCATACATACATACTTGCATGCAAATTTAAAGACTTTCATACGTTTATACATACATATAAAACATACTTAAGTACATACCTACATAAATTAATATATATATATCGAATATTTTCAAATATATAAAAACAAATTAAAAAAATATTAATAATAAAAACAAAATACTTACTTTGGAAAGAACCTAAAACTCGATTTTTCTTACTCTTAAATTTACAACAAATTTAATATTACAACGTCTGACACTCAATATTAGACAGGAACCAGATGATATAGTCTGAAAGTATAGATGAAATGTAGCAAAACCATGTTAATCGTTTTTATTTCGTAGTCCTGTTTCATTTGAAAAGGACTTTTAAAAAAAATTGTATAAGTAATTTAACAAATTTAAGTAATTTATTTCACTTGTGTTATCATCTACACATGTACGAAAAGACAAAACAGGTTTTGCTTTATTCATTCTTGTATGTATTGTTTGTTTTTTTTATTTTCATACATAAAATTGAGAAAAGAATACAGGAATATTTTCGTAAACTTTACTCAAATGAATGCGCATATTTTATTTTGCACTCTAACATTCGAAAATTTAAAGCAAGGAATATTTTTCATTTAAAATTTACACCAGTGGTGCTCAAACACATACTACCATAGACTACCATAGTTTTATTTGTGTTGGTAAAGCAGCAGAGAACAGAATTCAATTCAAAAAAAAAGTATACTAATAAAATGTCTACAAACTATAAAGTATATGCTAACTGTCAAATATTTATTATGGATTTTGACAGCCAGCGTATATCAAAGTCTATATACAAAAAACTATCAACTGTCCTCTCATGTTCTCCTACATTAATTCGGCTTTCTCAAAATTTTGTTGTTGTATTTCTGTGTGTATTTAAAAAACGTCGCGCAAGTTGAGAGCAAGCCCACTGATATTGCTCATTATAAAAAGAAGAAGAATTAAACCCATAGTGTTTAATTCCCTATCACGCGTGCTATGAAATGGCGTAAAAAAATCCACAGTAACATTAATGTATATAAAGACAAAATTTTGGTTAAATTCTGTATCTATATCATTATTTGGTAATGAATATTCTGCATTTAAGTGATTTTGTATGGGAGCTATGACCAAATATGGCCCGATCGTGAAAAAATTTTATAGTGTCATTTATGTATATAAGAGCAATATTTGTGCTAAATGTATCAATATTTGGTAATGAGTTATGTGCGTTTAAATGATTTCGGTTGGGGACCTTGTATGGGAGCTATGACCAATTATGGACCGATCGGAAAAAATTTCACAGAAACATTTCTGTATATAAGAGCAATACTTGCACCAAATTTTGTATGGATATTTTAATTTAGAAATGAGTTATGTGCGTTGAAGTGATTTTCGGGAAGGGACCTTGTATGGGAGCTATGACCAATTATAGACCGATCCTGACATAAAACTTTAATTTGTAAAATTTTGTGAAGATATGGACATTCAAACGGAAGTTATTAAAAAAAAAATAATTTTCCGGGAATATGTACATTTGTATGGGAGGTATATGAAATTGTGGACCGATTCCGGACGGACTCATAAGGTCCAAGAATATATATACTTTGTTGGGTCTCAGATGAATATTTCTGGGTCTAAAAGAACTATTGAAGATTTGGATACCAAAGAAATCTGAGTTCGCTATCTATAAGGATCCAGAATATAGTATAATTTATAGGGTCCGAAAATTATATTGTGGAAATTGCAAACGAAATGACAAACTTATATATGTATAGTATACATTGTATACACTAAAAAAATCCATGCCTAATATATACGAAAAATGTCGTACATTGTACGAATCTTTCGTTGTTTCGCACCACGAAATTCTTTCGTAATATATACGAAATTGTACGAAATATTTTAGTATAATGCAAAATAATCTTAAAAAAATTAATTTATGTTATGATTACACGTTGGTACAATTATAATTAAAACAAAAGACAATTTCTAATAACTATGTTTATTATTCAAGGTAGGATTAAGAACTAAAGTAACAAAAAAGAAAACAAAATTATATTCGTTTAATTCAAAATGTCCGGTGTTGCCAGATCATTAATAATGTTTTTGGCTGTTGCCAACATCTCCCTCTTTTTAAGATGGAGAGTAACGTCTAGGAGCACGATGAGTTCTGGTGGATTTTCGTGGTCCTGGGCTCTGATTGACTTCGCCAGGATTCTCGAATTCGACCATAGGGTCTGGTTCCACTTCATTTGGCCATTCTGGAGATATAGCGGATGTGTCGATTTCTTGTTCCAACGGCTATTCAGTGAGTGTATTGACTGGTTCCGATATATCGAATTCCTCAAGTGAATATGTCGTTGAAACTTCATCTGTAAATCGTTCTCGTAACTGGTTTACATGAGATCTAATAAGTGTATTTCGTACGTTGTAGATTACGTCGCCAACTCGTTCTATAATTTCACCGGATGTCCAAGACATTTCATTCCCGTTAAAAACCTGGGCATAAACTTTATCGCCTATCTTGAAACTACTGATGCTGGCTTTAGAAGGTCCAGAGGTATTTAGAGACGTCTACCAATGAAACATTCAGATGGACGATGAAACTTAGTACATCAATAAACCAACGCCAACGCTTCCTTTTCAATCTGGCTGTACTTTTGTTCAGCAGACGTGAGTGCTCTTGAAACGTGATAAATAGCTTTTCGTGTACCATCTGGTATTTTATGAAAAATTTGTGCTCCAATTACTACCGTGGATGCGTCTGCTGTAACAAAAATAGGAAGTTTGGAGTCATAGTGTGTAGCAATAGTTTTGACTGTAGTAGTCTTTTAAATTCCCGAAATGATGACTCGCATTCCTTCGTCCAATCCCACTTTACTTCATTCTTCAATAAATTATCCAGTGGGTGACGGATGTCACGCATTTGGTTTATAAACTTACCATAGTAATTAATGGCACCTAAAATGAACGAAGTTCAGACACATTGGTCGGGCGTTCCATATTTTGAATTGATTCGACCTTGGAAGGATCTGGGTGAATGCCCTTGCTGTCAATTACATGTCCAAGATATTTAATTGATGGTTTAAAAATTTCGCATTTCTCCCAACTAAAATATTTACAATTTTCCATTTTTGCAAAAATTTCATCCCCATGTGGTAAGGGATAAAAATTCGGTTCCATACACTGATTCAACCCTGTTGAGTAGTCTCCGCATATACGTATTTTGTTGTTTTGTTTACGTACAACTTCTATCGGTGCTGCCCACTCAGAATGTGTTATAGGTGTGATTATACCATCTGCTTCCAATCTGTTTAGTTCAGCTTCAACCAATTGAAGTGTTGCGTAGGGAACTGGCCTTTTTGGTTTGAAAACTGGCAATGAATTTGGTTTGACGTGAAGTGTTAATTTAAACAATGTCCAGTTTTGTCCTGGAGGACTTCAGGATAAGTCTGCTTAATTTCGTTAAAAACTATCTCCTTCTGCTCACTTGTCGATATTGCATTACAAATAAAATTTAAATTTTCATTCCAATAATTAAATTTATCAAATAAATCTGTGCCGAAAACATTTAAGTTATCAAGCTCTGTCACATATAATGTACCAGTTTGACTTTAATCGTTGTGTTGTATTTCAGTTACAAACTCACAGTTATAGGTATTCGGCTATTCGATGCATCTGATGCTTTCTGTGTACATTGCTGCAACTGCGGTTTACCTATAATTATCCAATTTGCCTTTGAAATAATCGTAACATCAGCCGCTGTATCCAACTGAAGTTTCATTTGCTTGTTAGCTATTGTGACTGTTATGAATTTACGTCGTTCAGCATGTTTGTGAATTGCCTTTATGTTGTGTGGTTGTAGTTGTGTAGTGGCAACAACATTTGTACGTAATTCATCATTGTTGTGCTTTTTATACCCTCCACCACCATCAGTGGTGATAGAGGGTATATATAAGTTTGTCATTCCGTGTGTAACACCTAGAAATATTCATCTGAGACCCAACAAAGTATATATATTCTTGATCCTTATGAAATTCTGAGTCGATTTAGCTTTGTCCGTCTGTCTGTCTGTCTACCTAAAACACGTTCACGTTAAAACTAAGCAAAAGAAATAAACCAAATTTACCAAAAAATATTCGTTGTTGTCCTAAGCAGTTTGGTATTGAAAATCAGCAAAATCGGTTCACAACGTTAAAAGTTATGAGTAAGAATTTCAGACTACCTCGAAAAAAATTACTGTTTTTCGTAATTCTTTTGAAGTTTTCCCAGAAACCACCAAAGATATTGCGATGAATTTTGTCATATTTTATTTTTTCAGGGCAGTGATCAATTATGTTTAAAATCTTTACAATCGATCCAATATTTCCCATAGCCCCCATACAAAGGTATATATTCCCGGAAATTAGTTTATCGTTAATAACTCCCTCAAATATATCGGTATAAATACCAAATTTTGTACATACAAATATAATATGAACAGAAATCATACGGTCCATTATTAGTCATAGCTCCCATATAAGGCCCACTTCCGAAAATCATTTAAAAGCTCATATTTCATTGTCAAATAAAGCTATTTTAATAAAATTCGACACAAATATGGTTAGTCTAAATATAAATCAGTCTACGCAATTTTTTCCAGATAGACCCATAATTGGTCATAGCTCCCATATAAGGCCCACTTCCGAAAATCACTTAAACGCATATATTTCATTAAATTATAAAGCTATCGGGATAAAATTCAACACAAATCTATTTTGTATACATACAAATCTTTCTACAAATTTTTTTACGGATCGGTCCATTATTGGTCATAGATCCCATATAAGGCCCACTTCCAAAAATCACTTAAAAGCACATATTTTAATGTCAAGTAAAGCTATCTTGATAAAATTCCACACAATTATGTTTTTCCTAAACATGAATCACTCTACGAAATTTTTCTGGATATGCCCATAATTGGTCATAGCTCCCATATAAGGCCCACTTCCGAAAATCACTTAAACGCATATATTTCATTGAATTCTAAAGCTATTGGGATAAAATTCGACACAAATATGTTTTGTGTACGTACAAATCGTTTTACAAGAATTTTTACGGATCGGCCCATTATTGGTCATAACTCCCATATAAGGCCCACTTACGAAAATCACTTTAAATGCACATATTTCATTAGCAAATAAAGCTATCTTGATAAAATTCGACACAAACATGTTTTGTCCAATTATGAATCACTGCGAAATTTTTCCCGAATAGGCCCATAATTGGTCATAGTTCCCATATAAGGTCCACTTCCGAAACACGCATATATTTCATTGAATTCTAAAGCTATAGGGATAAAATTCGACTTGGATAAGTTTTTTGTACATATAAATCATTCTACCGCTTTTTTCTCGGATCGGTCCATTATTGGTCATAGCTCTCATATAAGGTCCACTTCTGAGAATCACTTAAACGCACATATTTCATTGTCAAATAAAGTTATCTTGAGAAAATTCGACACTAATATGTTTTGTCTTTACATAAATCACTCTGCGAAATTATTTCCGGATAGGCATAAAAAAAATTCTACCCAATTTTTTCTGGATCGGTCCATATTTGGTAATAGCTTCTGTATAAAAAATCCCTTAAACGCACATATTTCAATATCAAATAAAGATATCTTGATAAAATATGTTTTGTGTACATGTGAATCACTCTGCGAAACCTTTCCGGATAGGCCCTTAATTGCTCATAGCTCCTATATAAAGTCCACTTGCCATAATCACCTAAACGCACATATTGCATTGATTAATAAAACTATTGGAGTAATGTTAGACTTGATCTTTTTCTGCATATAAATCATTATACGAAATTGTTTCCCGATTGGTGCATAATTGGTCACAACTCCCATAGTAAGGACCATTTCTGAAAATTACTTAAACGTACATTTTATACATAGGTATAAAATTTGACATAAATGTGTATATTAAACGGAATTTTTTTCGGACCGGTCCATAAGTTGTCTTAGCTCTTATATAAAGTTAACTTCTGAAAATCACTTAATACCACTTAATTCGTTATTAAATTATTATATCCGGATAAAATTCGACATGAGTATGTTCTGTGTATAGATAAATCATTCTAAACTTTTCTGGACCTAATCAAAATTAGTTTGACAAGTTATCTACAAATTAGATAAGTAGATGGGTTTCAATAAAAAGTAGCTTGCTGATGGAGGGTATTTAAGATTCGGCATAGCCGAATATAGCACTCTAACTTGTTACTTTTACGTTGTTTTCGTTTGTACGATGCATGATCATGCTTGCCTTGCTTTGATGTGTTCTGTACGCGAAAACAACCACAATAACCGTCTTTATGATCTACCTTTCCACATTCTCCTCATTTGTGTTGTGTATAGGAACAATCCTTGACATAGTGCATTGATCCACACTGCCAGAAGGGACGTGTAGGACTGTTGTTGTTATTTTTATAAACGTCTTTGCTTTGTACGTTGTTTCCGTATTGTTGATTTTTCATCTTCTTATAAGATACGGCATTTACCTGAGGTGTTTGTGTCTCCACTAGGCTTGCGTCGTTCTTAAGTACCATCATTCGTTGCACCTCGGTTATTAATTTATCCAACGTGATGTCATTATTACCATCCAACATGGTTATAAGTTTGCTACGGACCTCCGCGTAAATATGTGACTGCAGACCTATTATAAACATGAGACACTTGAATTGTTGTGAGGTAATTTGGCTGCATTCAAAACGTTCACATAATTTGTTCACTCTACCGGCATAAGTGATGAAGTCTTCGTTGTCATCTTTCAGATTTTTGAGACAATTATACCGTGAGTTGAAAGGTGACTCTTTACGATCAATAATGCGCTGAGTGATTTCAGTGTTTCGTTGAATTGGAGATCCTGTGGTTTTCTTGGTAATAAAAAATCGGCGTATTTCTCGTATACTTGTTGGTTTAATCTTCTTAGAATAAGTCGAACTTTCGATGCGTCCTCTAAGAAAAGTGCTTCATGACGGCTGTACCAATTAGAAAAATACAGATTTGATTCTGGGTCATGACAAAACTCGTTGATACTTTTGGATTATACATCCATCCATCCTGCCCTGTGTTGGGAAGAGGCTGTGGTGCGTTTGCTAAATTTTATGTGTGTAAAATTTCTGCAAGTGATTCGATCAGGCTTTGCTGACGAGCTGCTGCCTCGTTTTGTTGCACCAACAATTTGGTCATGATGCTTTAAAATGAATTATTCATCTTCGAGGTTAATGTGAGTTCCCTATGACTTAAAAATTCTCGTCGCCACTGTTATGACGTTGGTACAATTATAATTAAAACAAAAGACAACGTCTAATAACTTGTTTATTATTCAAGATAGGTTTAAGAACTAAAGTAACAAAAAGAAAAACAAAATTATCGTTTAATTCAAAATGTCCGGTGTTGCCAGATCATTAATAATGTTTTTGGCTGTTGCCAACAATTTACATAAATTGTAAAAAGTAAATTTTGAAGAAATATGATAAAATTCATTTTAAAATAATTTTTCAAATTTTAGTTAACAAATTATTATCCACACGAATTTTTCGTTTTATTTTGAAAATAGTTCATGAATTATATTATACTTTTTCTTAAATTTTATAAAAATTTTGTAGTTTTATTTAATGATAATGTAATTAATATCATTATGTTTAATTTCGCTTAAATTTACAAAAAAAAAAAAAAAAAAAAAATATTACGAAAGTTAAACATGGATTATTTTCAGTGTACCCTTCTCACGAAGGTGAAGGGAATAAATATAATTTTAAATTTGGTTTTAATGTTAACGTTTGTTTTTTACGCTAGATTGATCATATGGATTCTGACAGCTGAATCAGAGACCCGACTTACAAACTTTCTTAAAAAAAAATGAACTAGTGCAAGAAATGACTAACCATTTTTAGTTATCTAAATTATCTAAAAAATTTGTTTTTGAAAAGAAAAAGATTTGAATGCACTTTTTGGGCCAAATTTCGAGCAATTTATTTGTAATTCAACCCGTGGTTAAAAAATCTTTAAATACCAAAGAATCATGATCGACTGGTGAAATGCGAAATGCGGTCAGATCTCATATGGTCAACCAAGCGTTGAGAAAATGTTGTAGTTAAGATGAAAGTTAAGATAAAGAACAAAGAAAAAAGTATATTTTTATAAAATACAAATACGAAAATTCCGTTTAAGAGATATTAGGATATGTCTCCATGGCGATATTATGATTCATTTCTATTATTTTTTCCAATACTAATTTTCTTAAATACCAATAAAATCCGATGCAACAAAAAATCTGTAAAATCCATGTATAATATGAAAGTAGAATAAAATACGTTTTATTTAAGATACAAATCATCAAATTCTAACGGGTAGTTTTGGACAAAACTAGACGTAGATAGATATATATGTGATTATTCTATAATTTCTAAGAATTGGAAGTATCGACATATTTTATAACTAAAATCTAATTTATTATAAAATTTATTTCACAATTTATATAGTTTCAAAAAAGTAGCGAACATGCGCTGTTTTCAAATTCAGTGGTTGTCGTTTTCACTGAACTGACACAATGTTTCGATGTTGTTAGCAAACTCGAGTGTCCAGATCCTGAAATATGGAAACGTTACATGAGACGTTTTGCTAAAACAATCGTAAAGGTGCTAATAGCTTATGCCGATATTGTGCAAAAAGAATGCCCAGAACACATGCAGGATGAACGTATTGTAAGTATTGAGTATTTATGAACTAAACTAATTACGTAAAGCAAACTTAAAATAAAAAAATAACAAAACAAAAATAAAAATCAGATGTTGAAATCACTAGCATTTTTTACTAATTACAAACCAGTGCCTCATTCTTGTATTTTTTCCGAATCGAGAAGAAAAAAATAAAAATATGATAGTCTTCCAGTTTTTAACAAGGTTATTCTGTTTATTTTTAAAATGCACGCATTAAAATTTAATATCAAATATTTAAATTTCTTGTGTTATACAATATGATTATAAACTTTCTAATCATTTTTCTCGATGCGGAAAATACAGAAACGGGGTACAACAAAATATTACATGATACATTTCTACTAAATATATGTGTGTTTACAGGCGTGTATTTTAATGAATAATATTCAACAATTGCGTGTGCAGTTGGAAAAAATGTTCGAATCCATGGGCGGCGATAAATTAGAAGAGGATGCGGCGAATATACTTAAAGAACTGCAACAAAATCTCAATTCTGCCCTGGATGACTTAGCTTGCCTTTTCGCCATAAGGTAAGAGAATTAGTAAAATGTAGACGAGATAATTTGACAAAATTAATATCTTTTCGAATATTACTATAATACTTAAGTCTGGAACCACGTATTACTCAATCGGTACGGGAGCTTGGTGATTTGCTGCTCGCAATTAAGGGTGGTGGAGGAAGTGGCAACATAAATGCTCAAAATCAAGTAGCCCAACGAAATGCTGTGGCCGTGGAAGCAGACGAAGTGTTGCGACCACTAACGGATCTTTTGGATGGTTCCTTAACTCTTTACGCACAATCATGCGAAAGACCGTACTTAAACGTCTGTTGAAGGAACTGTGGGAGATAGTAATGCGCACGCTAGAAAAGACTATCGTGTTGCCTCCAATGACTGATAAAACGGTATTGATTTGAACTAATAAACAAATATCAGCATATTAACGTTCCAACTTAAAAACATATTTACAGATGATGTTCAAACATCTAACGGACAATGCTAAAAACCTCGCCTCTAACGCTAAAATAGAAGATATGGGTCGTCTATTTAAGTCACATATGGCTGGAAAGCAAGATGTTAAAAGTGCTTTAAGCGGTGTAATGGATATTTCAAAAGAAGTCGAAAAGAATTTATCGCCTAAACAATGTGCTGTTCTTGACGTGGCCTTAGATACAATTAAGCAGTACTTCCATGCCGGTGGCAATGGACTGAAGAAAACGTTCCTTGAAAAATCACCAGAACTCCAAAGTTTACGTTATGCATTGAGCCTTTATACCCAAATGACTGATACGCTTATTAAAACGTTTATCTCCAGCCAAGTGCTTGAAGGTTTGTTTCAGATACAGTAAATCTAACTTACGCAACTATATTTGTTTTCACCCTATTTCTACAGTTGATCCCGAAAATCAAGAAGAAAGTGTGGGCGAAATATCTGTACAAATTGATCTATACTCACACCCTGGAACGGGCGAATATAAAGTGAATGTAAAAGGTAAAAAGTTCGTAATTCAGTATACATATGTCGCTCCATTTCGCCATTAATTGTTTTTAACTCTAAATTAAAATAATTATTTATTTAAATATTTTTTAGTTGTGGCAGCAAATGATCTTAAATGGCAAATTCCATCTGGCATGTTTCGTCCCTTTGTTGAGATCAATCTTATTGGACCCCATTTACAGGATAAGAAGCGTAAATTTGCTACCAAATCGAAATCGAACAATTGGTCGCCGAAATACAACGAATCCTTTAATTTGTAAGTTCACATATAGATACTTATTTTTTGATATGAGGATTTTTTTTTACAAATTATATCTGCTACCATACAATTACAGCACTATTGGCACTGAAGAACAACTGGATTTTTTCGAATTGCACATCTGTGTCAAAGATTACTGCTTTGCAAGAGATGACAGATTAGTGGGTGTGGCCGTTATACCTCTAAAGGATATACTAGAAAAAGTAATTGTTTAAAATAAAGAAGAAATTTGGAATTTTGTTTTGATCATGTAACTTGGTCTCTATTATAGGGTTCGGTTGCTTGTTGGCTGCCATTACAAAGAAGAATTCATATGGATGAGACTGGATGGACAATTTTACGTATTCTATCTCAACGCAATAATGATGAAGTAGCCAAAGAATTTGTTAAGCTAAAATCGGAGATCCGGCAGGAACCAACCGCCGGCACGTAGAGATTGAAATGAATAAAATCATTTTACGCACACACCCACAAACACTTGACAAAACCTACTAACCAACCATACATACATACTTGCATGCAAATTTAAAGACTTTCATACGTTTATACATACATATAAAACATACTTAAGTACATACCTACATAAATTAATATATATATATATCGAATATTTTCAAATATATAAAAACAAATTAAAGAAATATTAATAATAAAAACAAAATACTTACTTTGGAGAGAACCTAAAATTCGATTTTTCTTACTCTTAAATTTACAACAAATTTAATATTACAACGCACAGTGGTATAGGAAAAAAAAAGAGGGAAATAATTCGGTAACTTCTAAACGGTTAATCCGATTTTAATGAAATTTGGTGTGCACAAAGAGGAGGTGTTGTCGAGTTTAGGTTTTGAATTTGGACCTTATAGGCCAACCAGGGGCCCGGCGGGGGGTCCTCAAATTAGGACACCTCGGCTATGTTAAATTTTTAAAACGATCCTATTTCTTCATTTGAGTTCCGATTTAAAAAAAATTTCGTATATAGAATCTCCTCATCGAGCACTATAAAAAATGTCGTCGTAGCAGTAAATTATCTCTTATAGTTTAGGAGATATTCGCATTTGAATATTAAAATTTTAAAATTTTTACCGTCCTTACTTTAGTTTTTTTGATAATAGCAGGTCCAAATATTTCCGATTTTCGCCATTTTTTTTTATTTGCTTAACAACAAGTTTATATACCAAGCAGTGAAAGAATTATGTAAAAATCATGACTGAGTCCAAAGTTATAGGCATTTAAATTTAAAAAAAGGCGATTTTTTGTCATTTTTTTGGGAAAAAAGTATCTTTTTCTTTTTAAGTTATCTAAAAAGTTTCTAAGAAGATGTATATAGAATTTATACTTTTTGGAAAGCTGACTTTACATAAAATACGATAAATGAAACAAAACCTAAAAATTTTTGATACCGAGGGGACCAGGTCCATCCAAAAAAACCCTATTTTTTATGGAAAATTAAATTTTGAGCAAAAATTCTCAAATCGCATAGTCGATATCAAATTATAGTGACCTGTTTTATATGACCCAATAAGTTCTTAATCATTTTGTAACGGGTTTCGATAACCCCGCCCCTGGTATGGATATAATAGGCAAAAAACCAAAAAATCCCATTTTTGGGATTTTTTAAAACTTTTTTGGGAATTCCGGGATTTCTAATAAGAAAATTCGAAATTTTTATTTAATTTTGGATTTTGAGTAAAAAAATCTACCTAACTGTAAAATTTCATCAAAAAATATTCATAAATAAAATTTTTATTGCAATTTGAAAAATTTGTATCTTCGCAAAAACTGAATAAAAAACATTTTTTAATTTTTTTTAAAAAAAGTATTCCGCGAATTTTTTAATTTTCAAAAATTATATACAGTTTTGAAAAATAGACAAAATTACCTTTACATTAATATATAACATGCCTACCTAATGTTTTTTAAGTGACAAATTAATTAGGGAAAACTCAACATCTTTTAGAAAATTTACCTAGCACTATTATTTTCATCCATATATGTATGTAACAAATTTAAGAGTTAACCTTATGGATGAAAATAATAGTGCTAGGCAAATTTTCTAAAAGATGTTGAGTTTTCCCTAATTAATTTGTCACTTAAAAAACATTAGGTAGGCATGTTATATATCAATGGAAAGGTAATTTTGTCTATTTTTCAAAACTGTATATAATTTTTGAAAATTAAAAAATTCGCGGAATACTTTTTTTAAAAAAAATTAAAAAATGTTTTTTATTCAGTTTTTGCGAAGATACAAATTTTTCAAATTGCAATAAAAATTTTATTTATGAATATTTTTTGATGAAATTTTACAGTTAGGTAGATTTTTTTACTCAAAATCCAAAATTAAATAAAAATTTCGAATTTTCTTATTAGAAATCCCGGAATTCCCAAAAAAGTTTTAAAAAATCCCAAAAATGGGATTTTTTGGTTTTTTGCCTATTATATCCATACCAGGGGCGGGGTTATCGAAACCCGTTACAAAATGATTAAGAACTTATTGGGTCATATAAAACAGGTCACTATAATTTGATATCGACTATGCGATTTGAGAATTTTTGCTCAAAATTTAATTTTCCATAAAAAATAGGGTTTTTTTGGATGGACCTGGTCCCCTCGGTATCAAAAATTTTTAGGTTTTGTTTCATTTATCGTATTTTATGTAAAGTCAGCTTTCCAAAAAGTATAAATTCTATATACATCTTCTTAGAAACTTTTTAGATAACTTAAAAAGAAAAAGATACTTTTTTCCCAAAAAAATGACAAAAAATCGCCTTTTTTTAATTTTTTAAATTTAAATTATAACTATAACTATAACTTTGGACTCAGTCATGATTTTTACATAATTCTTTCACTGCTTGGTATATAAACTTGTTGTTAAGCAAATAAAAAAAAATGGCGAAAATCGGAAATATTTGGACCTGCTATTATCAAAAAAACTAAAGTAAGGACGGTAAAAATTTTAAAATTTTAATATTCAAATGCGAATATCTCCTAAACTATAAGAGATAATTTACTGCTACGACGACATTTTTTATAGTGCTCGATGAGGAGATTCTATATACGAAATTTTTTTTAAATCGGAACTCAAATGAAGAAATAGGATCGTTTTAAAAATTTAACATAGCCGAGGTGTCCTAATTTGAGGACCCCCCGCCGGGCCCCTGGTTGGCCTATAAGGTCCAAATTCAAAACCTAAACTCGACAACACCTCCTCTTTGTGCACACCAAATTTCATTAAAATCGGATTAACCGTTTAGAAGTTACCGAATTATTTCCCTCTTTTTTTTTCCTATACCACTGTGCAACGTCTGACACTCAATATTAGACATGAACCAGATGATATAGTCTGAAAGTATAGATTAAATGTAGCAAAACCATGTTAACCGTTTTTATTTCGTAGTCCTGTTTCATTTGAAAAGGACTTTTAAAAAAAATTGTATAAGTAATTTAACAAATTTAAGTAATTTATTTCACTTGTGTTATCATCTACACATGTACGAAAAGACAAAACAGGTTTTGCTTTATTCATTCTTGTATGTATTGTTTGTTTTTTTTATTTTCATACACAAAATTGAGAAAAGAATACAGGAATATTTTCGTAAACTTTACTCAAATGAATGCGCATATTTTATTTTGCACTCTAACATTCGAAAATTTAAAGCATAGAATATTTTTCATTTAAAATTTACACCAGTGGTGCTCAAACACATACTACCATAGACTACCATAGTTTTATTTGTGTTGGTAAAGCAGCAGAGAACAGAATTCAATTCAAAAAAAAAGTATACTAATAAAATGTCTACAAACTATAAAGTATATGCTAACTGTCAAATATTTATTATGGATTTTGACAGCCAGCGTATATCAAAGTCTATATACAAAAAACTATCAACTGTCCTCTCATGTTCTCCTACATTAATTCGGCTTTCTCAAAATTTTGTTGTTGTATTTCTGTGTGTATTTAAAAAACGTCGCGCAAGTTGAGAGCAAGCCCACTGATATTGCTCATTATAAAAAGAAGAAGAATTAAACCCATAGTGTTTAATTCCCTATCACGCGTGCTATGAAATGGCGTAAAAAATTCCACAGTAACATTAATGTATATAAAGACAAAATTTTGGTTAAATTCTGTATCTATATCATTATTTGGTAATGAATATTGTGCATTTAAGTGATTTTGTATGGGAGCTATGACCAAATATGGCCCGATCGTGAAAAAATTTTATAGTGTCATTTATGTATATAAGTGTATTATGGACCAATCGGAAAAAATTTCGCAGAAACATTTCTGTATATAAGAGCAATACTTGCACCAAATTTTGTATGGATATTTTAATTTAGAAATGAGTTATGTGCGTTGAAGTGATTTTCGGGAAGGGACCTTGTATGGGAGCTATGACCAATTATAGACCGATCCTGACATAAAACTTTAATTTGTAAAATTTTGTGAAGATATGGACATTCAAACGGAAGTTATTGTATACACTAAAAAATCCATGCCTAATATATACGAAAAATGTCGTACATTGTACGAATCTTTCGTTGTTTCCCACCACGAAATTCTTTCGTAATATATACGAAATTGTACGAAATATTTTAGTATAATGCAAAATAATCTTAAAAAAATTAATTTATGTTATGATTACACGTTGGTACAATTATAATTAAAACAAAAGACAATTTCTAATAACTATGTTTATTATTCAAGGTAGGATTAAGAACTAAAGTAACAAAAAAGAAAACAAAATTATATTCGTTTAATTCAAAATGTCCGGTGTTGCCAGATCATTAATAATGTTTTTGGCTGTTGCCAACATCTCCCTCTTTTTAAGATGGAGAGTAACGTCTAGGAGCACGATGAGTTCTGGTGGATTTTCGTGGTCCTGGGCTCTGATTGACTTCGCCAGGATTCTCGAATTCGACCATAGGGTCTGGTTCCACTTCATTTGGCCATTCTGGAGATATAGCGGATGTGTCGATTTCTTGTTCCAACGGCTATTCAGTGAGTGTATTGACTGGTTCCGATATATCGAATTCCTCAAGTGAATATGTCGTTGAAACTTCATCTGTAAATCGTTCTCGTAACTGGTTTACATGAGATCTAATAAGTGTATTTCGTACGTTGTAGATTACGTCGCCAACTCGTTCTATAATTTCACCGGATGTCCAAGACATTTCATTCCCGTTAAAAACCTGGGCATAAACTTTATCGCCTATCTTGAAACTACGTGACTTAGCTCCATGTTTAATATTGTAAGCTTGTTCCATTGCAATGTTCCGCTTTTCAGCTGATGCTGGCTTTAGAAGGTCCAGAGGTATTTAGAGACGTCTACCAATGAAACATTCAGATGGACGATGAAACTTAGTACATCCATAAACCAACGCCAATGCTTCCTTTTCAATCTGGCTGTACTTTTGTTCAGCAGACGTGAGTGCTCTTGAAACGTGATAAATAGCTTTTCGTGTACCATCTGGTATTTTATGAAAAATTTGTGCTCCAATTACTACCGTGGATACGTCTGCAGCAACAAAAATAGGAAGTTTGGAGTCATAGTGTGTCAGCAATAGTTTTGACTGTAGTAGTCTTTTAAATTCC